TATAATTAAAAAATTTATTTAATTTTTTTTTTATTATAAAACGTATTCATATTACACGGTTTAAACTAAAACGTATTCCTGTTTTTCGTTTTAACTTAATTTAATTATGTTGATTAAGTTTTTTTCTTAATACGTATTATAATAATACGTTTTTTTACTGTGAACGTATTTTACGAATACGTTTTATAAATAAAAGCATTTGAAAACGTATTGTCGGAATACGTGGTTTTGATTTTTTTTCACTCCTTTTTTTTTGGTTTTTGTTTTTGTCCACTTTTTTTTTTTATTTTTAAAGAAATCAAAAATTCTGACTCTCTCTCTTTAGATCAACAATTAGCTCGTCCACAGTCAATGAGTTATATAATAATAGGTATCTAACATTATATTTTTCATTTTTATTTGAGAAGCAATTTGTTTTTACCATTTTGTTTCCTTTTCTAATTATTATAAATTTATTTGTTTCTTAACACTCACCATTCATTATAAATATAATTTGTTAAAATAATTTTTAACCATTATTCATCTTGCGTCTAATTGTATATAAAAATAAAAAAATATTTATAACAATAATATTGTTTTTAAATGAACAGTAATAACTAATAAGTATATGTTTTTATCTTTTACATCTGTTTGTATATATAAACTCGTGTAAAATACAAGCACTATGATAGTAATTGAAGTTTATAATAACCTTCAAGTATAATTAAGATATAATCTTATAGGCCCATTTTTTATGTAATATTTGTGTTGATTGCTTAAATTTTTTCATATTAGGACTGATATATACATATATATATAGAGAGAGAAATGCTACGGTCCCGTTACGGAACTATATCGTCGGGTTTGTAACCTTTAGATCATTATGTAACCGTCATAGATAGTTGATCTAACGATTACGTACCCGACGGAATGGTTTCGTAATGGGACCGTAGCATCTCCCATATATATACTAGTACAATGCATGTGTATTACACGGGTGCTTGCTAATTTTTTTTTTAAGTCCAAAATTAATGAAAAAAAGTAGTTAAAATTTTAAATATCTTTTATAAATATATATATTATTATATATTTAGTATGGCACTTTTTGTTTGTGTGACCTACATGTGTTATATTATAATTTTTTTTAACTTACAACATATAACTACATTAAACATAAATATATCAATTAAGGAATAATTTTATTTTTTTAATAAATTTTAATAAATATTATTATTTTTTATTATTATAAAGATAAATATAATTTATTTATTTCATATATACAATATGGATGTCAAATCAAAAATCATTAAAAGATGATTATTTTGATATATTATATATGTAAAACCGATAAGAAATACAAATGTTATCAACTTTTAAAATACATTTACAATTCAATAGCTAATTAAAGGAAACAAATCAAAAGTCAGGGATATATTAGTCACTTAGTGTCTCACTATATAAAATTACAAAGAATTAAAAGGTTATATTAGTACAAGTGATATTAAAATACTAGCTAAATAATATTTATAGAATGTCCGAACATAGATTATTAATTATTAATATATCAATATTATTTGTCCAAACCTAAAAAAATAGTTAAAATTTTAAATACCTTTTATAAAAATATATATATATATATATATTATTATATATTTAGAATGACACTTTTTGTTTGTGTGACCTACATGTGTTATATTATAATTTTTTTTAACTTACAACATATAACTACATTGAACATAAATATATCAATTAAGGAATAATTTTATTTTTTTAATAAATTTTAATAAATATTATTATTTTTTATTATTATAAAGATAAATATAATTTATTTATTTCATATATACAATATGGATGTCAAATCGAAGATCATTAAAAGATGATTATTTTGATATATTATATATGTAAAACCGATAAGAAATACAAATGTTATCAACTTTTAAAATACATTTACAATTCAATGGCTAATTGATGGAAACAAATCAAAAGTCAGGCATATATTAGTCACTTAGTATCTCACTATATAAAATTACAAAGAATTGAAAGGTTATATTAGTACAAGTGATATTAAAATACCTAAGTTAGCTAAATAATATTTATAGAATGTCCGAACCTAGATTATTAATTATTAATATATCAATATTATTTGTCCAAACCTAATTACGAAACACATGATTCTTCAACAAGTAGGATTTCGAAGCACCAAAAGCAACCACGTAGGCTCAGTGCATTCTGCAATTATAAATAGGAGGGATATACAGGAGGGATATGTGTGTGAATTTATCTTTTACGTTTAATCCATAATTTACTCGCCTTACATTTGATTTTAGTGCATGATAAATCAAATTGGTTGTTCTTTTTCATAATCTACTAATACAAATCTATATCGAATATATCTCATAAATAATATAATATTATTTATTGCCTATTGATTATTAATTATTTGATGGAAAGATATTATTGAAGTATAACCAATGTATTACATGTGTGCTCATAAAAAATTTATACTTGATTTTTTAAAGAGAAGTTTTTGTTTGTTTTTTTTTTGTTTTTTT